CAATTGATGTAAATGATCATTTTGGCACAAATAATTTTGTTTAACAAAGTAGCTTTCGTGAGATATTGACCGCGGAGGTCCGAATCTGACGCAAACTTTCCCAAACTTCTGATGTGATGCTGCTGCGGACACGGCACATGGATCTATTTTGGCTCACGCTGGCGCTTCGAGCTTACGCCCCTTTGACACCGATTGGCCAAAAGGTAGACTCTTAAACTGTGATTACTGTGTGTGTATTTACCTCTGCTGGGGCCGCTGTGACAACAATACAGAGACAGAAACACGGTGTTAATGCCGTGCTGTTGTTCGTTGTTTCCAGTGGTGTCCAATAGTGCTAGGCTAATGTGCTAGGCTAATAGTGCTAGGCTAATGCTGCTGAATGCCGGTTTGTTTTGGTGCTCTCTGCTGGCGTCAGAGCCTGCGCAATTTAATGACATAATGACGTATCGCAATATGCCGGTATAACAAAAATCTCTACCGTGGGCCAAATTTATACCGTCTACCGCTTATACCGTTTATACCGCCCAGCCCTAACAGTGATTATGATCCATTAAGCCTAGCGTACATCGACAGAGAAACTGGGGACAACTAGTTGCAAGGCGGCTTTTGGCAACTGAGAGGAGATGATGGAGATGATCAGTTGCCGAAATCGGTCGATGTGCGCGCTCTTACAACTGGAGATGATCAGTCGGTCTCCAGTTTCAGTCAGTTGCCCGTCTTCTACTTTTCGGCAACTAGTTGTCCTCAGTTTCGGAGATATGACCCGATGTGCGCGCTCCATGCGCCGCTCCGACAACGTGTGTGTATTGCGTGTATTGCGAGCCCGCAACAGTTTATGTCAGAAAACACACTGTAGTTGAGGCCAGTTGCTGTCGATGTACGCGCTGTTATTCCCGAGACTGGTCTGCTACTGGGAGTTGCCCGTTTTCGTCATATTGTCGATGTGTGCGGGGCAGCAACTCATATGCGACGGATATAATCAGTTGCAAGTCCGATGTACGCTAGGCTTTAAAGGAGCAGTATGTAAAAATCTGGCCAAAAGTGGTACTGCAACCTCTCCCACTATCCCAGACATGCAGACTAAACCAGCTGGGACCATAATAGCTGAATAGACGAGTTTTGTCAACCATAAATCTATAACCAACACTCTTTTTCCCAAAGGACTTGATAGAAATACTTGTTTTATTCCTTGTTTTGTTATGAATGATTTGAGAATCTTAACGAGACCTTTTTTAGTTCTGCGGCCTGATATGTTACTTTGCCAGTGAGATTAGCTCGGCGTGTTGAGTTCTGGCAACCCGGATCATGGACTTTCTGATTGGTGAAACGGTGGAGGGCGGGACATCGAAATGAAATATTTCTTTACTACAAAAAGATAGGGTGGCAAAGTGTTTCATATTTTTTTCTGTTTTGGGTTTTGTTTTACACTGCTCATAGTAGCAATGAGCTGTTACCACAAATGTTGAAAGTAAAAGTGAGTTTTTATTCTGCAAAACCAAAGAAAAATAACCTGTCATAACATTTCCGTGACTTCTGTAATAATTAGTGTTTACGGTCTTTTTGGTGTGGAGTCAGGTGAATCTAACCATAACAGTGTATCTACAACAGAGTAACCAGGGAGTTCAGCTCTCTAAAGAACTGAAGGCAACAACAAGGCTTTCAGTTCTTTACAAATGATTATTGTGGTGCTAATGATTAAGAGTGGACAGGACAGGACAAGCCAGAGTCTGTGATGTGACAGGATCAGACAAATGGAGAGGTGTGCCTGAAGACTGCTGCACTTTCACATAACAAGTACGTGTGTGACCAAACAGCAGCAATTAACACCAGGACTCCCAGAAGCATAGAACTACTAGAACCCCGAGAGCAGTCAAAATTACTGCTCTCGGAGTCAAACGGACCAAAACAAATGGAATTGTGAGAAATTTCCCAAAAATATTCCACCGGATGAGGAAAAATCCGGTTCTTTAACTCATTGACTGCCAGCCGTTTTTGATGAATTCACTCATTTTAAAGACCCACAGAATATTATGTGCTATGACTATGTGAAATATGAAACCAGATTCTGAAAGATTGGACTGTCTACTTTCAGCAGCAAAAATAAGTTTGTTTCTAGCTAGTTTTGTTTACCTGTAATCGCCAGTCGAAAAGAGGGTCTCAGATAAATACGTCAATGGCAGTCAAAGAGTTAACCTTTATTAAATTTTATTAAGTTATAAAACAGGTGAATTTAACTTGAACTATAGCAAAAACAGTTTGCTAAAGAAATGCTACTGCTGCAAGTAAACGGTGTGTTACTATGGTAACACTTACTCTTCTCTGGTGGACAACCAAGCTGAACCAGAACCTGTCCGGAATCAGGGACTTTAATTGTTTTATTGTCATGTTTTATTGGCGACAGAAAAGGGCCAATATTTGTGTATAAAATGTCCAACTAAAACTATGCTATACAAATAAACTTGGATTGCCTAAAGATCTCTGCTCTTCTTCCTGTATATTTTTTGTTTTCAAACAATTGGTGCAAACTGTAATTTATACCGCTGATATCCAACACTAGACCTTAATAAAAACCCAAAAAAACCCAAGACGACAGCATCTCTCTTGGTAGTGGTGTTAGTCAAGCTTCCGGCCAGGCCTTTATCACTCCAGATATAGCCACCCCTCACTACTAAATACAGAGACAGCAATTTGTAGATGATGTCCGAGGAGGAAGGGCCAGCGCTTGGGCTTATTTATTACAGTCTCAGCTGTGAGTCACTTCAGAGGAGGCGCAGCGATGACAACAAGAAAACAGCGCTCGCTTGTTCCCCTGCAGACAAAGCAGTGGTGGGTTACATAATGATCAGATGGGTCTTTTGTTTTGGTAATCCTAGCCTTTAACAATGACACCTTAGCGCGGCCGTTTAATGGCTCATCACTCCCAAATAACTCAGTAAATTATGTGACGAATGATAATATGGATCTTTTTTTCCTCTGCTTTAGTAGATGAATGTCTATCTTGAGGGGGTTTTAGCGAATTTATGCAAGCAACAGTGGGAGAAGACTGTATATAGTCTGCACAGTTATTGAACTCAGTACAATTACTGGCAATTAAGTCAATTCATTTTGTCTACAGCTCTAAATCACAACAGCAGTCGTCTCGGAGGACATTACAAATGCGTTGATTTGCCAACAAAGATCAGAGAATCAAGCAGTTTGGAAATAAAATAATAACAAAAAGGTCTGTTGGGGCGGATGACCAATGTCCACAAAATTTTTTATAAATGTCCTGGATGATCATGGATGTCGACCCTCTTGGATCTGCAAGGAACCACTCAAAAACCCAATGGGAAAAAGGGAGAAACCTCTGGGAGGCCCACATTGACGGAGGGATCCCTCATGTAATTCACTTTTGTTGCCTGAATCTTAGTACTTATGACTTGCGTACGTACTTTTGTATGATAAGAATAAAAACTATAGAAATATGTGTGTTTTTATGTTGTAGATTGTATTGGTTATGTCTGTATGAATATGTATGTGTGTGCGGGTATGTGTTGGAGCTTATGAGCTTGACTTTTTCCCACTCCTTTTTGAGCTTCAACAGGAAACCCTTATATGTATGTACGTATGTATTTTTCTAAATTATATAATGGATTCCTGTTCAAAAGCTTGAAATAAATTAAATCAATAAAAAAATGCAAATATCACTTTCATTCACTATTTAACAGATCATAATTAAAGTATACACATTTCCGTACACATGGATATTGCTTGATAAATACTTTATACATGCTTTTAAGAGAACAGTTTATTTTGGATTCTTTTCAATTCATTTTATTTTGTTTAGCCCAAAAATAATCTCAGATGATTTTACAACATTGTCACATTTGCCAACAACAGATAAGAGAATCAAACAATGATAACTGTGATAATAAATTCACATAGGAGCTATTGGTATCACAGGGTAAATATCTGTAAATGTCCTGAATCATCACTGTCCTTAGACCCTTTTGCACTGGTGAGGAAAACTCCAAAATCCAATGGGAAGATTCCCCTCATTTAGACTTGATGTCACTGCACTGTCACTGCGATGGATTGGGGGGAAGAAGTGGAAGAAGATGGATGGATGGTCACTTAAGCAGGGGTCAGGAGGTCAGCAGCACATTTCCCCAGTTGAAGAATAATCTTTGTTTTGATCATGTTTTTCTTAGTAATATCACACTTTGTGTTAGAGCCAAGTCTACACCTGTTCCCAAGCCATTATTTCCATTGTTCAGAGTAACTAATATTTACAGTATATTACTGGTACTTCTGACAAAGCAGTTTACCCAGTCTACAAACGAAAAGTCCTGCTCCTACTTGTCCTGTGTGAGCTTCTTTGTGCACTCTTGGGTCACACCTGGACTCGGCTCAGATACAGAGTCCAAAAACCTCACTGTTCAGGGAGGCTGCTCTCGACTTCGTGGAATTGGTTATCACATGGCTTACTTGTTCATCTGTGTTGTATAAATAGAACGTGCAACTGGAGCCGGAGTCTTTACTCGAATAGGTTTCAAAAGGTAGCTCTTGGCCAAACTAGGGCTGGGCGATATGACTGAAAACTATATCACAATATAAGTAATTCATATCGGTCGATAAATAAAAAACAATCAATTTATATTGTTATTTTCTAAAACGTAAATAAATACATTTGTCGTGTCGGCTAACACATATTAGCAGCCTTGTTCACAGTCACGGGGGAATGAGGCTGGAGCCAAATGTTCACAAGCAGTCTCCCCCACTTTAGTCCTGGTTTAATCCTCGTTTAGTCCTGGTTTAGCACCTGTTTTCGAGTGTCCTGTGTCCCCGTGGCGGCTTCGGAAAGTTAATCTCTTGCTTTTGCCGAATGCATCGAGTCTCTGCCTCTCCCGCGCCGCACATGCTGTTCCTCGCAGGACATGTTTAACCATTGACACGGCACTGAGACACGATCTTTAGATCCAGGGCTATTATAATAGATCCATGATCCATGGACGCTATGCATGTGTGGTAAAACGGCTTCTGAGGTCAGTGCTGAGGGTGCGCCTGCTTTCCCACGGGCCGCCCCGGTGGGCTTTATAAGCGCTCCTCCCCTCATTTGCCCCTCTTTGCCCTCACGCCTCTGCAGCTGTGAGTTTGTCCCAGCTCCACGCATTCCAGTGCTGCTGTCTGGTTCCTCTAGGCACCCAAAAACCTCTGCGCGCCAGGTAAACCACTGCTTCCAATACAACATGTAGAATGCACATTCACAAAACGCAATCTTTTCCCAGCTCCTGTGTTTGCCCTGCGTCTGCACTCTCGTGCGACAGTGGCCTCTGTAGCGGGCCTTCGACTGCAGCGACAGGTATAATCATGCAGGCTTCGGTTCATTCATAAATTCGCACAGTTTTGTAATGTAATCCACGCTTTGTAGTCACGCTGCTTGACCCAAGCCTACGGGCTGCGCTGTCCTATGCGCTGTGGCGTGTACCTAATTATTAAAGGTAATTATTTAATAGCAAAATTCATTCATGCATAGTTCTAATCTTAACTCGGGACCTTTTTATCTAGCTGGTGGTGATCAGCATTACGCACCACAAGTGGCGCGGGTTTGGTCCGCCCATTCATAGTGGCTGCTCTGAGCGCAGCCTCCTGTTTGGCCTAAAGCTGTGGACCACTCGTTCTTGGGGCTCTAATTGGTAGGCTTATCTATTTAGATTTATTTTGTCCCCTTTTTGTTATTTATTTAGTTAGGGTTATTTTAGGTAATATTCTAAATTCATTCTTTTATAGGTGCGTTCCAGCGGCACTGGCACACGCCCCCTGCTGCTCTGCTTTGCCCTGGCTCCTGCTTTACTTTGCCTTGATTCCTGCTGCTTTGGCTTGGCTTCAGCTGCTTTATCTGCTGCTTGGCTTCGCAGCTTCGTATCGCTATCGCACTTTGTTTCGCTGCTCTGCCTTGTGACTGTTTCACCCCACTGTTTTGCTGCTCCATGTCCTTCGCAGTTGTGGACGCCTGCGTCTAGCACTCACGCACTTTAACGAGTGCTGCGTCCCGGTTCTGGGGCGTATACTTGTGGGAATGTGCAATAACAGTAAGAGTGAGTGAGTGAGTGTGCGAACGAGTGAGAGAGTATAGCATTTAGTTTTTATCCATTTAAATTAAATAAAAAGACTGAACTGTATTGACCACACTGTAAAATAAACCTGTCAAACTTGGAACCTGGTGCATTCTAATCTTTTAATACTTACCTGTGTGTCCTTAATTTATAGTACAGTACTCTTCCGGTGAAATTCCGGTCGTGGCGTTGCTTGGTTTATTTCAATACTTACATATTTTAACCAGTTATGATTAATTAATGTAACTTATTTCCTAAATCATATTACCACCACCCCTAGGCTGCCACAGATTTGGCTTATTGCTGACAGGATATTGAATAAACAGATGCCCAGGTTCCAGTTATGTTGTGAAAAATGTTTTGAAATGTCAGTTAAAGTTTTGTGAAAAATAGTCACTGCTAAAGTCAATCGAACAGTACCAGTTGCCTATGCTATTTGCATGTTTGTGTGGTTTGCATTTTGATTTGCTGTGTACATTTGATTTTGATGTATATTTTCTGTTTGAAGCTAAGGTATTGTGGCCACTGGAATAATTGCTGGTGCAGGTGTACTGTTTCACTCACAACCATATTCAAAAACTGAATTTCATGCATTGTATGTAGAGCTACTTGTGTAGTGGTTTTTTTTGTGAACAGGTCACACATTCTCAACCATTTTGTTTGTTTTTCAGTCTGGGGCAAAGCAGCAGCAGCAGTTGTTGGCGTGTGGCGGTGGAGTTTGTAGATCGTATTTGTAAAAAAAATTTCCAGACTCATTTTTTTGGCATTTGCGCGTGTAGAATAATGGAAGAAGAACTGCAGAGACTGAGGGACAAAGTGGCCCACTTGACGACGGAGAACGTGAGGCTGCGCTCAGACCAGGCTCAACCATCTGGTGCTGGGACCGCTACTGCGCCTGCACTGGATAGGTTTGTTTATGTTCCACGAGATCGGAAATGTCCCATGTTCCGAGGACACACTGGGCTTAGCCTTAATGATTGGATTGAAGAAGCGGAAGCCTGCATGAGGTCACGACACCTATCGCAACCAGTTGATAAAGCATTCTTTTTATACGACCATTTAGAAGGCGAAGCACGACATGAGCTGAAATATCGTAGCAGTGCAGACAGAGACGACCCAAATAAAATACTTTCTATTCTTAAGGATTTATATGGCTGCTCCGATTCTTATGTGGCTCTTCAGGAAGCCTTCTTCTCACGTAAACAACAGGAGGGAGAGACCCTTTTAGAGTTCTCGCTAGCCTTATTAAACCTTATGGACAAAGTCAAAGCGCGTGCACCTAATGCTATGCCGAATTCTGAGAGTTTGATGCGTGACCAGTTTATAGAGTATGTCTGTGATGGAGCATTGCGCCGTGTGTTGAAGCAACACGTTCGTCAAAATCCAAACGCAACTTTGATAGAGGTCAGAGGGGAGGCATTGAGGTGGGAGCGCGAGGGTATGCCGGCTGGCGCCCGTGGGCGAAGCAACTCCGTGCCTTCAGCATTTGGCCTCCAGTATGCTGTGCACAGTGGACCCTCAAGTGTGCCCCATCCACTTTGCACAGAGGTAAGTGACATGAAAGAACTCCTAAAGCGGCAGCAGGACCAGCTTGATAAGCTCACTCGGAGCATCGCACTTCTCCAATCAGAGCGCCAGAGAGGTCTGTCTCCTCGTCCTGGACCTACAATCTGTCACAGGTGTCAACGGCCAGGTCATATAGCCAGGCATTGCGACGGGCAGCGTGCCCCCGATTGGCAGCAACATTCTTCTCGTCCGTCTCGTGGTAACGTACAACAGCAGTCGGAAAACTAGTTCCCCCCGGGTCTAGGAGCCACCGCCCGGGTGGGGCCTCTTTTGGCTCAGCAAAAGTTGCAAGCCGTTTGGTTGATGCTCCCAAACTGATAGCGTCATGCCCGCACATGAAAGTGGATATGGCCGGAATTTCGGTGCCTTGTTTGGTTGACACTGGCTCTATGGTGTCAACAATCACAGAGGGTTTCTTCAGAGAACACTTTGAGTCCCGAGGAGTGGAGCGGTTGCAAGCCTGTAATTGGCTGCAGCTACGAGCAGCCAACGGGCTGGCTATCCCCTATGTAGGGTATCTCGAACTCAGTGTTGTGCTCTGTGGTAAGTCAATACCCCGCTGTGGTGTGTTGGTCGTAAGGGACCCACCAGGTATGCCAGTTCAGGTCCCCGGCGTTTTGGGGATGAACGTGATCGGAAAGTGCTATCAGGAACTTTTTGGACAGCATGGGTCGGCACTGTTCAACACAGCTCCTGTGGCGGCGTCCCCTACCTACTTGGTAGACGCCCTCCAAAAGTGCCATGTAGCTCACCAGGTGCCAGTCAATGCACGCCCTGGGAGAGTTAGAGTCCGAGGGAAGCGGGTTGTGCGCGTTCCTCCGGGCAGCCTGAAGGTCGTGCCCGCTACTTGTTCCGAACAGTACAGTGGCCACCCAGTGCTTTTTGAACCCGTGGAGTCGGGATTGCCCTCCGGTTTGTTGGCCTCACCATCGTTGGTTGAAGTCATTAGAGGCACTGCTTATGTTCCGGTTGTTAATGTAGGGACCTGCGACGTACTGCTGTACCCTCGCACCGTCGTTGGAACGCTTAATGATGTAAATGTGGTTAGTTTGCCGGCAGGTGTGACTGAGGTGCCTACCGCTATGGCGACCATCTCAGCACAGGCCACTGCCACTCCAGCAACGGACCCAATCGAACGGGTGGACACATGGTGCGGTTGTTTTTTTTCATTCCCAGAAAGTTTTGCGGTTTGTAGTCCTGAGATGGGTTCTACGCTGTACTATGGCACCCACTGCTCCATTTGACCCATCCTAGAGGCCCCAGTGACATCAGGATAGGTCAAATGCAGAGGAAGAATTGCCCTATCGGGATAAATAAAGTGCACCTTTACCTGAAACTGAAAAACATTTCTGATATATACTGCATATCGGTTTCTTAATAAAAGTAGAACATCAATGCATCCATTTTCTTGTACTTTATCCGTTTCTGGGTTGCAGGGGCAGTATTCTAAGCGGAGACGCCCAGACTCCCTCTCCACACAGTAAAGTTCTGCTTCTCCACGCCGAGAGGAGCCAGTTGAGGAGGCTTGGGCATCTGTTTGGGATGCCTCCTGGGGAGATGTTTCGAGCATGTCCCAGTGCAAGAAACCAGGAGAAGACCCAGAACACGTTGGACGGACTATGTTTCTCAGCTGACCTGGGAACGTCCCAGGATTCCCCTGGATGATCTGGAGAAAGTGTGTGTGGAGGTCTGGGCATTCCTGCTTAGACTGCTTTCCCCGCAACCCAGCAACGGATAAAGCGGAACAAAATGGATGGATGGCCTTTATTAAATCATATACATATTGTGTGTGTGTGTGTGTGTGTGGGTGTGGGTGTGTGGGTGAACATGGCTTTTTCCAAACCAAAACAACTATTCGGGAAACAATTACTAATCATTTTATTATTTTGTATCACATTGTGTGGAAAGAATGGAAAACATCCAAACTCTGAACATTGTGAAACGCTTGGGATGACCTTGTTCTGTAAAATGCACTAAATAAATCAACATTACTTACTTACTTTATAAACTGGTGTTTGAAAGTCAATAAAAATTGCGTAGTTGTGGCTCAAATCGTACGTGTGACCTTATTAAGGAGACCCATAAACAGATCCTTTGTCCTTGACGCTGTCTTGATTAATGGCGGGAAAGTCTTCGGATGACTTGACATTTCTGCCCATATTACCACAGCCGCACAGACACTCTTCATATCTGCAGTCTGCTCTCCGTAATGCTTAGGGCTCAAGCTTTTTTTTTTTTTCAATTTCCTGCTAAAGAGACAGCTGGCGTTTCACTTTGGCGACTTACTTAGTGTAGATCCATCACAATGAACATAACTATTGACGTTTTTAGAGTGAACTTAACCAGGTGGTGTTGAAAGAAAACATGTGGAGCTTCTTTGGTGGTCATTTCAGGCTCCACTGAATGTTCATGGGAAGTACGACTGCTGGATTTGCGCCTTCTCCTTTTATCGTTTAATATATTTAACTTTTTATTAAGTGAACTGGCACCTTTGAGGATTTGGATGCGCAACTGAAAATGCTTTCAGAGTTTTGCCAGGAGACGTGGGACTGGAGGATCTCGCCGACACAAAACTGGCCTGTCTTTTCACCATCTCCATAAATGAATGACAGTTAAAGTTTTCAGTGGAGATTTCGAAATGCTTTAACCAGTCTGTGATTTGTGAAATACCTGTTATCTTGAACCAAATCTTCTGTTGAATGTTGTACATCTGCTATCATGCATCTGTCTGCACCGGCCCTACTCTACTCTACTCTACCTGGTTGGGTTGCTATTATGCTTTAGTATCTTGTACGTTATCCTAGCAACCTACCCACTACAGATCACTTCATTGCCAGCGTAGAACCATGGCCAGTCAATTACGTTTTAGTACGTTTTAGGGAACGGTACTTTTAAGTACTTGTATGGCCTGGTACCGGTTAAACAGGGCCAGTGGGAATGCCGTCAATCATGGGAGAGGAGAGTAGAGTAGAGTAGGGTAGAGTCGGAACAAGTCCGCACACTTCCGTATTCAGTCCTGCCGTATCGCTTTGTAATCCGGCACTTTACTCAAGGTCCGCGCCTAAGTTTGTGTTTTTTTGTTGCTTTGAACCAAAACTAAGGCGCAACGGCATATTTAGAAAAACAAAAAATCAGCAAACAAAGTAAGTAAAAACAGGAGTCTCCCGGACTTTGGAGCTGCACCGCACAGCCTCAGAACAGCCCTTGTTCTACAGCCTGAGTCCGGGAGCATATCCCTTTCTCAATGTGGGTCTTCCCGAGGTTTCTCAATTTTTCCCAATTGGATATTTTTGAGTAATTCCTTGCCTATGTAGTGTTATAAAGTGTGGTTAAAACTATCCCACATGCCCATGACCCTTCATTATTAGAGAGTATGTGTTAGTTGCCAATTGAACTCCATCAGGAAAGTCCATGTTGGTCCCACAACTTTTTGAGTTGCTTAATTGTGAACCAATGATCAGACTAATCTGGTCTGGATTACTGATAAGGTTGATTTGCCCTTCACACACTGACAAACAATAACAACATCTTCCACATGCGATCACTGAAAGCCTTGCTAACCCATTCCACATGTCCCTCTCCCCCAAACTCCACTGTCCCATCGTAAAACACAGGTGGCTCTGCAGATGTATCCATAAAACAGGCCTGGGTGTGATTCCGGGGAGGTTATCTGGGAGCACAGCGACCGCTCGGTGCTGGGAAGTCTTCCGAGTCATTATATAATCCAGAAGCACATTAAGCCTTCCGCAGCCTACTTCTCTGTGGTCTGCAACTCGCGCTGTCTCTACTCGTGTTGTCAATGTGGCTGATTGGAGAGGGCAATTTTTAGTGATGGGAGCCAAGACATTCCCCCCCCCCCCCCCCCCCCCCGCCACTAGCATGCTAAAGTCTGTACTCGTTAGGCATGTTTGTTTCACGTTGGCTTGAATGCTTACCCCAGAACTCTGGTGGTGATGGCAAAGTGACTTTCTTTGGTGATAATATTCTGTGGAGTATGTAAAGCCTGGAAACGATCACACACAAATCAGAATCATTTTCAGAATCAGAATCATTTTTATTGCCACGTAAGTAACAGGAGGTCACAGACTAGGAAATTGCTTTGGCTCAGTGCAACAGTCAAAAAGAGATAATAAAAATAAGAATAAAAAACACAAAAAAAATAGAGTTACAG